AAATATTCAACGTGTGAAGGAGTTTGCCAACTTTTGTAGACAAAATATGAAAATGTCCATTCCAGTGATTTTTTGGAGAATTCACAAATACAGGAAAGACGCGCTTCCGACTATTTCGTTAACGCTGATTTCGTTGAAGAATATAGTTAAATGGCTGTATCTCATATAGATGCGTTTCAGTCAAAAACCAATAATAAATGTTAATATTTTGCCACTTCTGAGAGATTATAGATCTTTGGGAAATATTGGTTCCAGATCTAGGAAGACCATTTAAGTGCAACATCTACAAATAAATTGGAAATGATCAAATCAGTTAAAGTTGCTATTATTCGAAAACTAGAGAACGAAACCTGATGGTTTTCTTTTATTATTTGTCACAATATCTTGTGGAATTCTTTCGAGTATCTCGCCTATATAAACTGTATCGTTTATTATAGTGTTGTAGGGTATTCAACGGTCGTCCCCGCTCGACTGTAGCCTTTGCTTACTTGTATAGTATATCACATGCATTTGTTTGCAACATGTGGAAGAAACGAGATAGACCCAAATTAGATGGAGTTTGACACATATTACCAAATGCAGCTTTGAAGCAAATTTCTTAAATTTTATGAAAATCGGTACAGGTATATATATTTTTTTCTTTAATTTAAGTCATTTCAAGGTCATATCATGAACTTTGTAGCAATGGTATTTGGAACAAGAGGTACAAATGCCTCCGCCATATTTAGTCGAAATCGATCCCGAGTATGATATACCTCCCACATATTAACCGTTTTTCACCAGTGGATCACAACCAACAATAGCGATCCCATATTTTATTGTTGGCAAGTCCCTCGATGATATTTTAGGTGTCTTTTTGAAGTTTTCTAAAAGTACCATTAGCATCGGAGGCTCTCCAGCCCAGAGCCTCTTTCCTTTTGGCACTGTTCTGGATTTGTGAACGGAATCGTCAAACATGCAGCTGATTTCGCGGGCTAAGGATGGTATATTAAATCGTAATTCTATTTATAACTTATTGAAATAATAATCTTAGACTCATATAACAGTACCTCCCGATATTCGATATTTTGATTATTTTAGCGACATTATTTACCGGAAATGTTTCAAATTTGGTATTTGAAGTCTGTAATAGATACTACAGCCTAAGACAGAAAATAGACAATGTAGGTCCATGTCTTCGTATAGCCCCTATATAACGGTACCTCCCCATATTCGGTATTTTGATGATTTTAGCTACATGATTTACCGGAATTGTTTTAATGATTTTGATGATTTTAACGACGTTATTTAACGGAATTGTTTCAAATTGTGGTATTTTAAGTTTGTAATGGATACTACATGCTATCCAAGCCTTCGTATAGCCCCCATATAAAGGTTCACCAGAATTTTTTTTTTCAAATTTGGTATTTGAAATGGTACTGCAGCCTATATATATATATATATATATATATATATATATATATATATATATATATATATATAAATATATATATATATATATATATATACAAATGCCTCCGCCATATTTAGTCGAAATCGATCCCGAGTATGATATACCTCCCACATATTAACCGTTTTTCACCAGTGGATCACAACCAACAATAGCGATCCCATATTTTATTGTTGGCAAGTCCCTCGATGATATTTTAGGTGTCTTTTTGAAGTTTTCTAAAAGTACCATTAGCATCGGAGGCTCTCCAGCCCAGAGCCTCTTTCCTTTTGGCACTGTTCTGGATTTGTGAACGGAATCGTCAAACATGCAGCTGATTTCGCGGGCTAAGGATGGTATATTAAATCGTAATTCTATTTATAACTTATTGAAATAATAATCTTAGACTCATATAACAGTACCTCCCGATATTCGATATTTTGATTATTTTAGCGACATTATTTACCGGAAATGTTTCAAATTTGGTATTTGAAGTCTGTAATAGATACTACAGCCTAAGACAGAAAATAGACAATGTAGGTCCATGTCTTCGTATAGCCCCTATATAACGGTACCTCCCCATATTCGGTATTTTGATGATTTTAGCTACATGATTTACCGGAATTGTTTTAATGATTTTGATGATTTTAACGACGTTATTTAACGGAATTGTTTCAAATTGTGGTATTTTAAGTTTGTAATGGATACTACATGCTATCCAAGCCTTCGTATAGCCCCCATATAAAGGTTCACCAGAATTTTTTTTTTCAAATTTGGTATTTGAAATGGTACTGCAGCCTATATATATATATATATATATATATATATATATATATATATATATATATATATATATATATATATAATATATATATATATATATATATATATATATATATATATATATATATTAGTTAAATATATTTGTAGAATTGCTTTTTTCACATTAAAAAATGTTGATTCTGTGTCGGGAAAGGAGTCGTTTGATATTGTTAATTTAGGGTTTGCAAAGTTGGAACAAAATCATATGATTCTTTCTCTCTTTGTTAGGTATATTAAATAATGTTTTTGTATATCCCTCATATACCTCGCGATATTCGAGTTTTATTTTATTTCTGATTTCCCTATAAGATTGTATACCTCTACTTTCCACTTTATGGATTTCAACAGACTTTTTACAGAAAAATAGCAATCAAATAATCATTATACAATAACGGATTCCATTGTGGAAAATATTTTTTTTCTCATTTTGAGGTTCTAGGTTGTTACTCCTCATACACAATATATAACGTTTGAATACAAAGATTGGACAAAATGGTTTTCTTTCCCTAACTTCTTTTATACTTGTTATATCCTCCACCTTGGAAAGGAGAGTATATTAAATTTGTCATTTGTAGTACAAAATTGTCTATATAGATTCCCGTTTTGGTATGGCCCCCATATAATCATGGTACAATAAAAAGGTAAGTTGGAGCTACCAGCTGATTACAATTTTGTTCTAAGTGTGCCTGACTTCTGCCAATTTTGTGTATGTATTAATTGTGTTACAAATAAAAACAGAATATTTTCAAAATCACCTATAGGAAGACGCGTAAATTGCGAGACGCGCATGAAAGCTATTCGCCAGTTTTGCCATGGAATTGAAAGATAGAACTGTTTAGATCATATTTTTGAAAGTAAATCCACGCATTTAACTTATTTTGACTGATTTTAAAAATGAGGAAAAATTGATTGAATGTATGAAAACAACTTGTTGCATGTAAATTTGACAAGAAGCGGGCATAGCCTCAGGACTGTATTTCTGTAGTTTTACGAAGCTGTTCTACCTTCTTATTGTACCATACATATAACGGCTTCATATAACGGTCTAACTGGTATTTGTAGTTTAAAGTGGAACACGTTTGAAATTAAATACTTTTATAAAATAAATGTTATCTTTAGGTAATGGTGTAGGGTATTAAAAGTTCGGCCCGTCCGAACATAATATTTTTCCACCATAGTATGGAGGGTATATTAACTTTGTCATTCCGTTTGTACCTCCTCGAAATACTCATGCCAAACCCAACAAAGTATATATATTCTTGATCAGCGTAAAATTCTAAGTTGATTTAGCGATGTCCGTCTGTCTGTTGTAATCACGCTATCTTTCGAACGAATTGATAAAGAAGGCTAAAATTTTGCATACATATTTATTTTTCCAGTCGGCAGGTTAAGTTCGTGAATGGGCCATGTCGGTCCACGTTTTCATATAGCCCCCATGTAACGGTACCTCTGGATATTCGGTATTTTGATGATTTTAGCGTCATCAGTCACCGGAGTACTTTCTGATTACGTATTTAGAGTTTGTAATGGGAACTACAATCTGTGACAGAAAATTGTCTATGCAGGTCCAGGTCTTCGTATAGGCCCCATATATTAGTACCTCCCTATATTCCGTATTTTCACGATTTTAGGTACAATACTCACCGAAATCGTAATGAATGCTACAGCCTGTGACAGAAAATTGTCTATGCAGGTCCAGGTTTTCGTATAGCTCCCATGTAACGGTACCTTCCTATATACGGTATTTTGATGATTTTAGCTACATTATTTACCGTTTATTTCAAGTTTCGAATTTGAATATGGTAATGGCTTTTGACAAACAATGCCTATGTAAGTCCACGTATTCAGTATTTTTAAGATTTTAAAAGATTTTTTAACGGATTTTATTTTTTGAAAATTGCCAAATTCGTTCCATATGGTGGAGGGTATTCAAAGTTCGGCCCGGCCGAACTTACAGCTTTTTTACCTGTTTTATACCCTGCACCACAAGGTGGTCAGGGTATTATGTCTTTGTGCATTTGTTTGTAACAGGCAAAAGGAAACGAGATAGACCCATAGTTCTTTGATGATCTGCATAGAATCACTTTCTGAGTAGATTTATGCATGTCAGTCCGCCTGTACGACCGTCTGACCATGTATTCTTGTGAACAAAATACAGGTCGCATTTATTAGTCGATTGAGATGAAATTTTCCAAACTACATTTGTTTGGCCCAAGGACGAACCCTATTGAAATTGGAGATAATCGGCCAAAATTTAGATATAGCTCCCATATATATCTTCGTCCGATTTGCCTTTTATTGTGCACCAAAATGTGTAATATCAGCCCGAATAGTATGGAATTTTGCACATACAACCAAATTAGGACTGAAAATAAGTATGCCCAAATTTGATCGAAATCAGTTCAGATATAGCTATAGCTCCCATATATATTGTTCATCCGATTTGTTATTTTTGTCCTCCGCAGCCGTAATATGCACTCTACAACAACAACATTTGAGGAAATATATCAAATGCAGCTCAGAAATACCTTTGCTAAATTTTATCGAGATCGGTTCAGATTTGGATATAGCTCCCATATATATCTTTATCTGATTTCAAATTAATTTTGCACCAAATAATAGGGTGTATGATTGAATTCTTCCATAAAAACTTTTAATTGTTATGTGGAGCGCAACTAAATTAGTGGTGTAGGGTATCATAAAATCGGCCCACCCGATTTGAGGACTTTCTTTACTGGTTATTATTAGGTTGTTTAAAGAAAATAAGTCATTTTTATTTTTAAATTTTATAAAGCTTTCAGTATTAAAAAGAAAAACTAACTTAAACTTTGCCGTACAACTTCTGTGGTGTGGGTATATCCTCAACGAAGAAACTTGCCGGATACATGAGGAACAATTTTGCTAGTAGTCTGAACATAATCTTATCGACCGTATCTGTAATCAATGGTCGCAAGGCCTCAAAGAAATCTCTCCAATTTTTGTTGAAGGACTCATTGGTGCTGCGATTGATTTCTTCGTTATTGCCACCGAACAGGTTGTCGAATTGAGAATTCATCTTCATGGCATCGAGATCCACTTTTACATCAGTGACATTGTAGAAGGTGAAGCCGCCCTTTTCAATAAGGCGTGTTTTTGTACGCATTGTAATGTTCATTGCATCTACCATGAAGGGAATTGTTTTAAAAAAGAAATTATAAAAAAAAAAATAATTTATTTACCAATATCAATGAGCATTTGACCTTCTCCCCTAAGTGGCAAAAGAAGAACACGACCATCCATTTTATAGTGTCCCTCAATTTTGAATTTTGGACAGAATAACTTTGTCAACCAGCTAAAGTCTTTTTTACTCACTCTGTGCAAAGAAAATAAAGGGCATGCAAGTAAATTATAATTACATATTTATGCAGAAGTTGCTCCGCTACTCACCTACTCTCCGTTACTTGAATATTAGAAAGTCCCGATATCATCAAGTTCGTTAAATGTGCTCTCAATGTGGCCGCATCATTGTTGTCCTGTTTGAAATTTATTTCATCCAAATGCAATGGATCCAGTTTGCCTACAGCGTCTGTAACTTCCGTAACCTTGCCCGAAAATACTTCCTGTAGAAATCGTTGAATCGATTGTGTTGAGCATTTTGTGAATTCGGGCTCGTAGATTTTGCAAGATTTTATATAGGAAGCTATAGAAAAATAAACCGATTTGTTAGTGTGTTTAAATTTGTAAAAAAAAGAAAAAAAATCTATCTATATATATAAAGGAAAGTTGTGTTAGTTCCTACTCCTATAACTCAAGAACCGCAGGTCTGATTTAACGATTCAGAAAATTCGGAATTGTCTCTTGCTGGAAAAGGATAAAATCATAAAAAATGGCGCAAAAATGATAGATTTGAAATGTTTCATTTTTGGAATTTGGAATTTTTTTGTGGAATATACAATTTATTTTGCATGATTTTTTCGTTTTGACTTACTATTTTCGAATGTACATATGTAGTGTTTATACCCTACTCCACATAGTGGTAAGGGTATTATGTCCTTATTGTGCATTTGTTTGTAACATGGAGATAGGCCCATAGTTATTTTTGAGGATCTCCTTAGAATCACTTTCTAAGGTGATTTGTGCATGTCACTCCGTCTGTTGTCCGTTTGTCCATGTATTCTTGTGAACAAAATGCAGGTCGCATTTATTATCCAATTGAGATGAAATTTTCCAAACAATATTTGTTTGACCCAAGGACGAACTCTATTGAAATTGGAGATAATCGGTAAAATTTAGATATAGCTCCCATATATATCTTCGTCCGATTTGCCTTTTATTGTGCCAGCCAGAATAGTATGAAATTTTGCACATACAACCAAAATAAGGCCTTAAAATAAGTATGCCAAATTTGATCGAAATCGGTTCAGATATAGCTACAGCTCCCATATATATTGTTCATCCGATTTGTAATGTGCATTCTGTAACAACAATATTTGGGGAAATATATCAAATGCAGCTCAGAAATACTTTTGCTAAATTTTATCGAGATCGGTTCAGATTTGGTTATAGCTCCCATATATAACTTTGTCCGATTTAATTAATTAATTAATAATTACTATTTTAAAGTTGGTAAGAAATAACGAAAATAACAAGACAAAATTGTGAATGGAATCGAATTATAGCCCAGCTGGTATCACTTTGATATGTCAAAAAAATTGTTGTAATTTGAATTCGCCATTGAGAAACATTACCAAAATTCACACTTCAAACAGTAACAATAAATAAAGTTAGAATACTCTCAGCCAAATGACTACATCGGCTATATACCTTTTGATACGGTCAAAATGTGCCTCATCGAAATAATGGTTTTGGACTCTAGATCTTTTGGATGAAATCCATATTAGACATTTGGAGTCGATTGGGCGATGTCCGTCCGACCGTCTATTTGTGTTTTCATTATTTAAGGCCACAATTTAAGACATAGAAGTTTCAGAGCTTTCACGTGGTAATTGCTTTAAAACGGGAAGCATAATTTTAAAAATTCCCCTGAATTAATTTAGCGCAAATAATTCTGCATATTTTAAAGGTGAACGTATCATTTTTTTTAAAAACAAATTTGAGATAGAAACAAATAGTGCAATATTCTGCATTTTTATGATGTCAATGTTAAAATTGTTTATTATTATAATCTAATCTTAAATTAAAGACATATGGACGGTCAGTGATTTTATATAAGTTAACGGCTCACCCTAATAAACATCAAACTAAATATGCAAACCAACTAGTAAACATTCCCATCATTATGCTGCGCAAGCAGTCCGACAAATCAACAGGAATATGACACCAGGGCAGTCATCCGCCACAAACACGCGCACTAATACCAGCGCACCGCAAGTGATGACTCAGCGTAATAACGAGCACGACCAGGCTGCAGTATAATATTAGTTTTAAGTTGAAGTAATTCATAATTGTAAATCCAACAAGAGAGGTGCATAGCACCGCAACATAAATGTTAGTAACAAAATAAAGAAACACCATAGCAGTGTGAAATAAACTTTAACTTCTAACATTAACTGGCGCCCAACAACTACAAGGATCAACACATCCTAGAACCCAACAACCACAAGGATTAAAACATCCCAACAGCCGGTACGAGAACCGTTCCTGAGTAGGAGTACGAAAAGGATGTTACGTAAGAACTAGCGGACTACCGGGATATAAGGAAAATGATCAAATTATTATTAGTAAGTTATTATAAATTTAACAAAAGTAAAAAAGAAGAAATGTTAAAATAAAATTAAACAAAATAAGGAATAACACAGAAAGTGAAAGTGTGAAATCTAATTTACAAAAATCATATTTGTGCTAGAATACGTTTAACAAAAATAACAAAGTAAGAAGAAAGAAATGTTAGAGTAAGGTAAAACAAAAAAATAAAGTGTGACATCTAAATTTACAAAAAAATCATATTTGTGCGAAATTAACAAATGTAAGAAATATGAAATGTTAGATTAAGTTAAACAAAAAAATAGAGTGTGGCATCCAAATTTAAAGAGTCATATCCGTGCTGAAATAAGTTTAAAGAAATTTTGATAATAGATTTGTGACGAGAACTAGGATTTGGTGTTTCTTTTTCTCCTTTTTTTCGAGCGGCCAATGCCGGAAGATTTAAACAACTTAATAACAAGGGTCGAAGCTATGAGTGTTTCAGGACAGACATCTTCGCCTTCTGGGGCAGCTCCCGTAAGGTTTAATCCCTTTACGGAAAGTCAGACTAATGAGGTGAAACGAATAATAAGTGAGACGGTGGCAAACCTTCTCAAACAGGGGGAGGATGTTACCGCCACTAAAGATGTCGACATAGAAGGATCTGGGGATATCTCAGAAGGAGAGAGAATACCAGACATAGTGAAGACGTTAAGGGAATTCTCGGGCAAGCCAGGAGAATTTAGTTCGTGGAGGAAAGCTGTTGATAGGATCATGAACATTTATGAGTCACAAAGGGGAACAACCAAATACTTCACAATTCTACACACTGTTAGGCATAAAATTGTTGGTGAGGCCGACACGGCTTTGGAGTCTTATCGGACCCCATTAAATTGGAAAGCGATAAGAAAGTGTTTAGTGCTTCATTTTTCAGATAAGAGAGATATTTCGACCTTAGAGTATCAAATGACCGTCCTATCTCAGGGTGGGCAAACCATAACAGATTTTTACCAGAAGGTTTACCACCATTTGTCTTTGATTCTGGACAAGATTGATTGTCTGGATATAGGGAACGAGGCTTTGGATGTATTGACCCAAACATATAGGGACAAGGCTTTGGACACCTTTATTCGAGGACTTAATGGTAATCTTCCAAGCTTAATGAGTGTTACAAACCCGACAAGTTTGCCTCAGGCTCTAAATGCCTGTTTAAAATTAGGTAATCTAGGTGTGCGTATTCAACACGCTACCGAGAAAGGATCTAGACCAAACAGGATCCCCCAAACTAACCCTCCTAGACATTTTTACCCACAGCTGACGATTGGTGATAGGAATTTTCAAGGTGACCAAAGGTACAGAGGCCCTACTCAATATCGTTATCGGAATTTCCGAAGTGGAGAACAACAATACGGAGGGCCGGCGAACTTTTCGAATCGACCTCCAGTAGTGAATAATTTTGGACACCCCCAACACGGAGGATACAGACCCCCACTTCCTCCTAAACCTGCTGTACCAATGGACGTGGATCAATCAATACAGACTAGGCAGGTAAACTATCAGAATAGGCCACAGTTGAGTAATGCTTTTAACAATGTTCAGCCTAACTTTAAGAGAAATAATTCAGGAAATATTCATCAGCCGCAAAAGCAGCAGAGAATGTTTAATGTTGAGGCCCAAATACGTGAGGATGCAGAGCCGGATGAAATGAATGGTTCTGATGAACAGGAATATGAGGTTTCCTATGACGAAGCGTACGAGGAGGATCTAGACGATCAGTTGGCAATTGTAGATGACGTTAATTTTTTAGACTAGCTTCAACGTTGCCATACCTCCCTTTCAGAATGAAAAATGGCAACGAACTTAAATTTCTTATAGACACCGGTTCGAACAAAAATTATATTAATGGCAAATTTATTAGAAACCCTCTAAAGAACCAGAAACCTTTTCATGTTAAGTCCGTAGGCGGCATAGTTAGTATAGAGACCCATAGTTTTATTGACATTTTTAATTGCGGGATCGGAAAGTTAGAATTTTACATCCTTCCTGGTCTAGAGACCTTTGATGGGATAATAGGGAATGATACCCTGAAATCTTTGAATGCAGTGATTTACACTTGGAGATCCTATCTCACAATTCTGGATGGAAAGAAATTTCCTTTGAAAGAGCTGCAAATTGATGAGATTAATAACATGAATCTACGTTTAAATCATCTAAATCCCGAAGATGAAAAAGAAGTCAGGAATATTTTGGATGACCATCCAAACCTTTTTGCAGATCCCAATAAAAAACTCACTTATTCAACAATCGTACAAGCTGAAATTAATACGAGTAGTGATAGTCCAGTTTATTCAAAATCCTATCCGTATCCAATGGCATTGAAATCCGAAATTGACAAACAGATAGAAGAACTATTAAGGGACGGGATAATTCGCCCTTCCAGGTCCGCATATAATGCTCCAGTTTGGATAGTACCAAAAAAACCAGATGCTTCAGGTGTGAAAAAATACCGCATGGTTATTGACTATAGGAAACTTAATGAGATAACTAGACCTGACAGATACCCCATACCTGAAATTACAGAAATCTTGGCTAACTTAGGCGAACAGAAATACTTTTCCACCGTAGATTTAAAGAGCGGATTCCATCAGATTCCACTTAGGGAATCCGATATAGAGAAAACAGCTTTTTCCGTCAAGAATGGAAAGTTCGAGTTCACAAGACTACCATTTGGACTACGTAACGCGTCTGCAATATTCCAAAGAGCTCTAGATGATATTCTTAGAGAGCATATAGGGAAACGGTGCTACGTCTACATTGATGACATTTTGATATTTGGTAGGACTAAAAAGGAACACATTGAAAATTTGAGGATAATATTCCGCACTTTGGAAGACTCTAATCTGAAAGTTCATTTGGACAAGAGTGAATTCTTAAAGGAAGAAATTGACTTCTTAGGGTTCAATGTAAAGGAAGGAGGTTTTTCTGCAAACCCAGACA